AGCTCATGCATCGGGTAGGTGCCAGCCCCAGTGGCAAGCTCAGGGTTAGACATCCTGGGGGAATAGGTGCGCAACTATCTTCCCGAGGCTTTCCGCGTCCAGTGGGGCGCAGTTGTTCGCTCTGCCGACTTTCTTTACAATTAATTTGTAAGCGTTCCCCCACGGGTCTCGGTCCGCTGCCTCGCACAGCTCCAGAAAGCATTTTCTCTTGCTGCCCTTTATTGCCGCCTTGAGAGCTCTTCTGCACCGATGGTATGCCTCGCGCTTTACCAGGTGTGACTGGGATCCGCGCGACCGTTGGTAAAGTCGCCTGGCTCTCACGCATTCCATTCGTGCCTCTGTTATCTCCTGGTTCCACCAGTACACGGAGGCGCGGTGCCTAGAGTGGGCGGACCTGGATGGAATGCACTCCTCACAGGCCGATAGCACCTGGCCCATCACCGAATTGGCCATGACATCGGAGTCGCCTGACGCTTCCACACTCTGCATCCTTAGTGCAAAGGCTTGGGTGTCGAGCAAGTCGGCCTTAAAGCTTTTGCGCTGCTGCGCGGGGGGAGGTGGAGGGAGCGTGCTGCGAACATCCAGCGTGGTAAAAATAGCCGCGTGGTCACTTGCCGTGTACACCCCGCTAAGTATCCACCTGCACTGCCCAGCTCTCGAGCGACTGGCGAAGGTGAGGTCCACCACCGATCCTGCTCCCGCCCTGCTAAACGTGTGCTCCTGCCCTACGTTGAGTAAGGCCACATCTAGCGTTGATAGCGCTTCTAGGAGTGTTCTGCCACGGGCGTTTGTGGTAACGCTGCCCCAGTCGACCGCCCAGGCGTTGAAATCTCCAGCAAGCAGAGTCGGAGAGCGGCCTCTTGCATCAGCAGCAAGCCTGTCCAGGATGGCAGCAAACTCTGCTATCGTGAGGCTAGGGGCTAGGTATGTGCTGTAGACCCACCAGCCTCCAGCTTTGGCACGCACGAAGCCATTGTCCGCGTGAACGTTTTCCAGACGCAGTGACGCGGTTCCGCAAACCCACAAGGCCGCCTTGCCGGAACTATCCACGGCCCAGTTGTGGTTGCGACCACCTCTGTACGGCTCGCTTAGCACTGCGAGATCGGTTCCGTGTTCCCGGACCGTCTGCGACAGCAGGTCTTGCGCTGCCGCGCAGTGATTCAGATTAATCTGAATCACTTTCATGCCCTTTTTTAAGGCCATCTCTGGACGACGCCACCAGTGGGCAGGAACGGCTTCCGGCCTGGTGACTCGTGTCCTTCCTTTTGAGCTGCTCGCACTTGTAGCAGTTTGCTGGATTAGGGCAGTCTGCTGCCTTATGCCCTTCCTTCCCGCATTTAAAGCAGGCCTTGCTTCTGTCTACGGAGCTCCGGCATCTGCTGGCCACGTGCCCCGTGTCCAGACACCTGTAGCACTTGAGCTGGGGCTCCAGCTCCTTGATCCGGCACCTGGTCCATCCGACCTTAATTTTGCCGAGTTTGATGAGCGCGCCTGCCACGCCCGCCGGAACCGTGAAGGTTGCGGCCTGGCTTCCTGAGGCCAAGGCGCGTATCCCTTTTATTGTCACCGAGTTCGTAGGGAGGTCCGCCTGCTTGACTAGCGCATTCACTAGCTCCTCCTTTGTGGTCAGCTCGTCCAGGTCCCATATCCGGAAGACGGCCTGTGGCGTCATTGTGCGGATCGTGGCTCTGGCTCCCAGTGCTTTGCCAATCAGCTCCTTAAAGCCACTGGTTTGGGCCTGCGAGTTGCGCTTAATCTCCAGTAGCAACTCTCCTTTAGCTGTCTTTCTGACTCTGGAGACGCTATCGCCAACTTCTTCCATCCTGGCGTCCTTAGCTCGCGTAACCAGACCGAGCACTTCGCTATAAGACATGTCTGGAGGAGGGCTTATGATCAGCGCATCCTTACCCCGTCTTTTGGGCCTCTCGCGCCGGCCTGCTCCGGGATGAGCCCGTCGTGTTTGCTCGATGGGCGCCTTTCCGTCTCCTCCATTGGTGCCCTCCGCAATTCTCCTAGGATTCGGTGGTTGCGAGCTCCTCACCAAGTGGCGTTTAGGGTCGCTTCCCTGATCCCGTTTATCCGGGCGGACACGCCTGCTCGGAGAGGTTTGGGCTGACTTGTCGTGGCGCGGAATACAGACTTGAGCTGTCTGGCACCCGCGTTCTGCAGTTTCCTCACTCCGTGTGTGGGGGGGCCTTGCCTCCGGGTTGCGCATTAATGCTTCTTGGAGCTCCTTGAGCCTGGCGAAGGCATTCTTCATACCCTGGTTGATACTCCGCACCTTCTGCTCGTTGACCTTCGTGAGCAGGTCTTCGAGGATCACCCCCATCTCCACTAGCTGTGGCTGGGGGGGCTCTGTGCCTCTTTGTAGGCTGCTCAGTCCCTGGTGGACTCGGGGAGTCCCTGTTGCGTTTCGCTAGTGGGGTACTCGAATTGTCCCCTTCAGCGGTCCCGCTTGGGGCTGGGACAGCAGACGCTTTAGCAGCATTTCCTGGCGGGCTGCGCCGTAGGCGGGAGCCCTTCTGGAACGCTCTCAGTTCTTCATCTACATCTACACTTGTAGCATCCGGGTTGACGTCGGCCAAGTGTGCCGCCGGCGTCGCCGTGGTGGGTGGAATGGTAGTTAGGGCCTCCAGAATCCGTGCCCTAGCCGCGGAGTTTACCGCGGGTGGATTTCCACCTGAGTGGCTGCCACCTGGAGTATTATTGTTAATACCAAGCATTCCTATTCCTTTAAATGCAGCAATATACCCTGCTGCTGGGTTGCATTTTATACCTCCTGCCAGGTTGCATTTTATACCTCCTGCCAGGTTTAGATTGCTGCCGACCGATACGGTGCAGACGCAGACCATACCGCCGGCCAATATGGCTCAGACGCGGTATGGATTTGGGGAGTCGTCGCAGCTCGAGCCTGCCGGCCATTATGGCACAGACGCAGACTGATCAGCCGCCCCATTTGGGGCAGGCTAAGTGCGTTACGGGCGTGGGTTGCACCATTCGGGGCATCCAACGATGGCCGAGGATTTCTCCACGACATTAACGCTGGGGGTTATACCGCCCCTCCTCGGTCGCCAGAGCCCCGTTTTAGGGTGTGCCGCGTCGCGGAGGGGATGGCAGTTGGTCCGTTCCATGACCTTTACCACCTCGAAGGCCTCCGCTGTGCTGAGAGGGAGATTCAAGTCCCTGCCATGACCCTCTGCCAAAGGATCGTGGCCGCCGCCCGAAACAGTATGCTACTGTTTCGTCGGCCTCCCCGCATGTTAACGTCGTAACAGGCAGCTTTTAACAGCCAGCACTGGTTTGATCGCCAGCGCCGCCTACCGGCCAAGCGCCCTCTGGCGCCCACTGGTTACGGGCCGAGTTACGCGGGCTACAAGCTTACGCACTTTCGCCTTTTCCAACACTGTTACTACAGCTGATCTAACGCTCAGCTGGGATGATATGCCACTTAGTGCGGGCCGCCACATTGGTAAGAGCAATTGCCAACGCGTTGAAGAGAAAGTGAAGAAAGGCTCTCGGTGAAAGAGCCACCCCCACTTACCCCTGCCGCCGGAGCTGTGGCCATCGAGTGGACCCTTTGCGCAGAGCACCACGGTCCTAGGAACGGCGGACCGGGCATGTAGGTCCGACCCATGTTCATCCTACAACTTCACATATCACTAACACTTTTATTCGTACTAGGATTGGCCTCTATTCCGCCTCCCTGGGGGAGCGCCCCGGAAAACACAACCTCACCGTTCAGCGTACTACAACTTCTCCACTCTTGTGCAGTGGACTGTATTGAATATGTATGTAAATGTAAATAAATGCTAGCGGGAACACAGTTAACGAAGAGGAATTGAGAACTATTGGAATTAAATTCTCACTGTGGCTATTGCATTTATTTATTTATTTAAACACACACATTCGGATTTTGGCACAAATGTAGAAAATGAAATTTGGATTTGGAATTGGAACTTATTATGCTGCCGTAGTGTCGGATCAATCGGACTTAGGATTTAGACAAATCATACAGAGAGATTAAAACGAATTGAGCTTCGCAAAACCTAACTGTATGACCGGCAGCAATAATATATTTGAACTTATCTTGTGCGGTGTTAAAGCCACCGGAGCTGCTGGTGGATGAAATCCGGCTCTGATGGACCAAATGTTGGAGGGGGGCGGCTTTAAGCTGAAATGCACTCGAAATAAGAACACGTAGAACTTTCGGGTTTTTACGCGACGTGCGTCGATATGTTTATTGTAGTAGGAGTAAATTGGTACTGAATACAAAGAACAACAACTAAAGCTAGGGAGAGCGGATTAGAAGCTCTAGGACTGGAAGTCCGGAGGAAGAGGGAGAGAAAAGGAGAAGCTAGGGAGAGCGGATTAGAAGCTCTAGGACTGGAAGTCCGGAGGAAGACGGAGAGAAAAGGAGAGCGTACGGGATCACACTGCCTCCCGATATTAAACGCCTTTCTGGCGTGAACACCCAGCTTGACTGCATGTGCAGCAGACAGGCAGTGACCTGTAAGAATACCCACTAACATTCTGCAGTCCTTCCGAGAAAGATGCAGCACGTAGTGAGTGAGTTTCTCGTTGTGCTCTTTGCCCATGATTTTTGATATTCTGCCGGTTGCGGAATTACTCCTCCACCTGCTTTTTGCGCTTTCGTCAGCCCGTCTCTCTAGCTCGCTTTGGAGCGTTCTTAGGGAGATAGGGACGTTTTCTGTTCTGTCACTCGCTAGTCCAAAGCCTTCCTTTGCAAGTTCGTCCGCGGTTTCGTTACCGTCTATGCCTTGCTATACTCATGTTGGTTGAGAGTATAAAGTCTAAGAGGGACTCACCTCTGTCGATCATGTTGGGGCTCCCCCATACGCAGTGGTGCGCGTTGGCGTCTGCACCCACGAGCAGTTGCTGGTCCTTCGGGCTGGCTTCTATCAAGCTCATGAGTTCTTCTGGTGGGGCCGTCCTCTCGTGTGCCATGTAGCAAACCACCAAAAGGCGCTTTTTCCCACTCTCTAGCATCACCACGGTCAGGTCATCAGAGCTGTAATGAGACATAAGGTTAGCGTGTAGACCCTTCCGTACAAGTACGGCGGTTCTATTCCTGCTTACCGTTGATGGATGGAGCAAATTGTAATTTGCGGACTTCAGTCCGGCGATGGCATTGCCTGAGGCGATCCATGGCTCCTGGACCAAAGCTATGTCGGCGGATCCTTGCCCCATGGCTATGAGGAGTTCCGCCGACGCGACCATGCTCTTATGGAGGTTGAGCTGCAGCACCCTGAGTGTCATGGGTACTGGGCTCACCTCCATACGACGGGTTGACTACTACGGTCAGATCACCGACTGCACTTTGCCCCCTCTCCTTGGGTGATGGGGCCGCAACGTACAGAACCTTCGAGTCCGCTGTTGGGTTATCCGGGTTCTGACGCTGCAGCAGCTTCAGCGCCCGGTCCGCTTTGATTGCGATGGGGAAGAGTACCTTCACTTTTGGAGTGGATGGGATTAGCTCCCGGTCCACCACCTCTAGCTTGGCTCCCTCCCACAGCGCCTCCAACTGGCAGACCGCTTGCGTCAGCCACTTTCTCGTCGGGTCATCCATGCACTTTAGGATTTTGACCCCATTTAGCCACCCAGCGCCATCGAAGGTGGGCATGGGAGCTTCGGGATCATCCTCCATCCGTGCGTACAATGACTCAACGAGCCGCGCATGCACCATCCACTGCGCCTCGGTCATTTTGCCGGCTTCATCGCTTCTGTCAATGAGGGCCACGATCAAGTGTCGTTTGATCATCTCACTGACTTTTGCGGTTTTTTTGGGCTTTTTCGCCATTTTGGGAGGGCCTGCCTCCTTAGGCCCGCGTTGTCGCATGCTTCCCGGTGCGTCCATAGAGGCGCTTTCGGTTGAGCGTTGCCTTTTGTTGGCAAGCGTCTCCTCCACCTTGTTGGCGAATCCGCCAGTCGATGTCATGTGGGGGAGTTTGGCGAAGTGAAGCCTCCCCTGAGCGATTTTCTCCTCAGCCCAGGTAAGCTTTGCCTTCTCCTCTGGGGATAGGGCGGCTTTTTCCTGGAGCCGATCCTGGATGCGGAGGGCAGCCTTGCACAGCGCCTTGGCCTTTATTCCCTCGCTTGACCGCTTTGGCCCGTCCCTGCGCTGGGAGCTGGTGTCTGGTTTCGGTGATTGCAGAAGCTGCACGCTCTCAAGGTCCGAGTCTGTATCGACTATGGCACGAGAGCGGCTCAACTTCCCCTGTGTAGTTTTTTCGGCAGTAGCATTGCTACTGACATGACCTGCTCCCGTCACATCAGAGGTGTAACCGCTGGCGACACGCAGAGAGGATTGCTCCCCCCCGTGCCCGCCGGTGGTAGCGGTCACGCCTTCCACCGACGTTTGGGCTGACATCCCAGCCCTGGTTTCTACCTTTAAGCCCTCCAGAATGGTTTCTTTTTCAGGGGTACCACCCACTTGCGTTTTATGCCTTCCGCCAGGCACCTCCACCCATGGCTAACGGCTCACTTCCTTAGGCTTTTAAGGGCAGAAGGAGTTGAACCGTGTCCTTTGCTAGACACTGTATTATCGCGGACGGGGCAAGCAGCAATGCATTACCCGTGTCCGGGCTAATATAGTGCCCATTGCCCAGCCGGCACCCTCGGGGAGGGTTGAGATGGATGTTTTTCAATATTTTTGCATCATTTTTGAGATATAGCCATTTTATATTTTTGCAGAATTTTGGTAAAAAATTGTATGAAAATAAGGCGACTATATCTTATACTTGTAATAGGAACGATCAGGAAATTAATAGGAATAAAATTTTAACTTCGGTGCTTTTCAACGTATTTTCATCTACTCTGAGATATGAGCTTTTTTTATTATTTTAGAATTTTGGTATAAATTTCATAAAAATCAGACAACTATATCATATAGCTCCCATAGGCGCGATCGGTTGATGTAGAGAAAATGTAATGCCGGGAATGTAAAACTGTAACTGTCAAACTGTAAGTATAGGTAAATTTAATGAAACTCTGTTTTGCGTGTATTTTCAACATTTAAATGTATAATATAAATATCAAAACCAATCTGCAAGGGTATAAAAACTTCGGTGTGCCGAAGTTAGCTTCCTTTCTTTTTCTATTTTAATTTATTTTTCTTAAATTTAGGGCAAGGTTTTCTGATTTGCTTCGTTCAATTTCTTTCTTTAATTACAGGCGAATTTTCTTAAATTACGGGAGAATTTTCTTTGTTTTGCTGGTCAACTTTTCGTAAAACTACGGCGGATTCTTCCTAAAATTTTTTCAAATTCCACACGCGTGCGCATACAATTCCCAACTGGTTCAAACGTCTCTGGCATAAGGTGACGGTGGTCGGCAAACACTTTGTAAGAGCAAGTCTCTTTTGCAACACCAAAAGTGTTAGCATTTTGGCCGCCTTTGTTAATTTTTTTTATTTATTTATTTATTTTTTTTTTTCGAGCGGGGTCCCGCTTCCACCTCCCCCCAACCGACCGAGGGGCGCAGCCGCGTGACGTACGGCACGAATCGCGAATTGGATAGACGCGGTGAATGAAGGAAGAAAAGAACGAGGAAACGTTACGAGAGAACAAAAATAAAATTTAATAAGGAAAAAAAATATATATAATATAATAAAAATATATATATAAGTAAAAACGCATGCAAAATAAATATAAAAAAAAAAATATAATATAATGTAACTAAATAATAACTATGTCGAGAGAGGCTGTAAATGAAACGAGCGTCTGACGTTGTTGAGTTGATATTTCAAACTACATTTTATTCGTTCAAATCCTATCTTAAATAGCTAACATGAGAGTGTACATTATTGATCTTAGTTCTAGACCCACGCATCGGACAGTTCCCGATCGTGGGAAATACTCTTAGTGCGATAAGGGAGCTCACAGTCACCCGATAGCACATATGGTATCTTAAACAAACCCAGACAGCTCGCAGGAGGTCATATTTCGGGTTGC